TTAGAGCTAGCCTACTACTATATAGGACAAAAATAGAGCTTAGATTAAGAGCTATAAAATAAGGTACTAAACTTTCTAATAAGGTAAGTATTAGTAGAGATAATTAAGAAAAACGATCCTAAGGTAGAGACCCGACTCGCCAGCCTATACTAGGCTATAATAACTAAAAAAGGTACTAGTAATTAGCGTTCTACTAATACTCTATATAGAATAGTATATATAGTTAGCGCAGCGCCTAATACTTATATACCTCTAACTAATCTTACCTCTCAAATAAATCTAATTCTTCTTACCTACGCTATTATAGAAAACTTATAGACTTTATTTAAGACTTAATCTATTTTTCTCTTTTAAATAAGTTTATTAATATTATAAATCTTACTCTTAAGTCTATAATTTATAATATTTATAAGCTCTTAATAAGCTATTAATAATAACGTGCGGGATCAGTAAGCTAGCCGGAATAGTAAGCTAGCCGCCCTACTAAACTTAACGCGACATTCTGCACTATTAAGCTACAATAATAAGAGATAATATAATTATATTCTATTATAAGGTAGTCTATTATATTCTATATTAAGTCCTTTTGTAACCTTAGGTGTAGCACTTCGTACACGTTAGCGGCGCGCGCTAGCGTCTCTTACCCGCCTAGCTCTAGCTAGCCTCTATTACTACTCTTTCTACCTCTATAATAAGCTACTAAGCCTACGAGACCTAGAGCACTCTACTAGAAGCTATATATTAACGCTACTAACTCTACTTCTATTATTAACGTTAATTTTCTATATGTAGCTTCTTATTCTTCTCTATAAGTATTATTACTAATTATATTATAAGCTAAGCGATTTTCGTGAGCTAGCGTATCGCGACGCTTATTAGACTCTCTAGCTGCTAGTATAGTTACTCTTAGAGATAGCGTAGCTACTACTAAACCTCTACTACTATATATAGTGTCTCTATTTATACTACTATCTACGCTATAATATTATTATCTATAGTAGTCTATAATAGAGATAGCGTTTAGATAATAGTTAACGACGATAGAACATAATTAGAATAAGAAGAGATAAGGCCTATCGCCTAAAAGCCTACCTAGATATTCTACTACGTAAAAATAGTTAGCTAGATTCGTGTATAGGCTATAAGAAAGTCTATTTTATTAATATAGTAGACGCTATAGTAGGCGAGCTCCTTAACCTCGCGTCTATACGCGCGCTTAAGAGGGGAATAGTAGCTTATATCTAGAGGCTATAGAAGGTGCGACGTGTAAGGCGGTATATAGAGAGTAATAATCTTATTCTTAGCGTAGTACTAGTTAAACTCTAGCGTAGCGTAGCTACTATAGCCGTCTAGAATAAGTAGCTAATAGACTCTAGCTATACGAGCAGCTATATACTAATTAAAGTACTTTACCTACTCTACGCTAAGCTAATTAGTTATCTAGCCGTTATCTAATACTGCGATAGTCTAGTCTTGTAGGAGGTCACGGTACTAGCTGCTCTAGTAGACCTTACTAGACAGTATTATAAAGGGTGGAAGATACTAGCTAAATGTATTAATATACTCGATAGCTATTACCTACTCGTGATTACCTAGCTGTACGATAACTGCGCGACTAACTCTGTTAGAGCTAGTAACTACCTTAGACGTGCTAGCAACGCCTATCGCGAAGCTAGTCTTATTAAAGTTATAGATATCTTAATCTAGGACACCGTACGTCTAGCGCGTCTCCTCTACTAGCTTAAACTAGGCTGCAATTATAATAGAATCCTCGCAGGAGGTACGCTAGCTATACAACCTCCTAGTCTACTTTATCTAAAGCTCTAGCTAGCTCTAGATAAAGCGCGATACCTATTTCTTGCCTATAGGTAGTAGAGGTAGATCTTAGCCACGCGCTATAAGTAACGCGTCTGCCATCCGTCGTACGTCAATGATATAGGGCGGAAAGCCTCGTCGATCTAGCTCTAGAATCCACTAAATAAGAGACTGCTCCTCAACAGGTGATAGCTTACGCCTAGCAGACAGAACCTCTAATCGTGGCTAGATACCGCGGAGGCGTGTCTAGAGCGTTAATTTTAGCACGTCGTACGCTTTCGCGAGAGAGTAGATAGATTGTTTTAGATTATTATAATAGGACGCTATAGCAAGACTTATTCTACCTTCACGAGAAGTCTGTATAGAGCGTTGTTGTCGCGGCATTGTGGTGGTTGTGAAGAGTGTCGCGTCACGTTTGGTGGGGCGGCCAGCTTACTGTTCCGGCCAGCTTACTGATCCCGCACGTTAATAAATAAATTAAGAGATTAGTAAGATAAACTTTAATCTTAACTGAATTACAAAAAATAATCGGCAGTTAATAACATGCTTAGTACTAACGCTAATAACTAACTTTAAACTAAGTTTTGACGCGTAGTCTCTATAGATAATTATAGTATTACTTGTATAGAGCTATAGATTGAATAGCCTTAATTGTAACGATGTTACAGCCTTATTAAGTACTAAGCTAATCCTAGAGCCGGATCGGAGGAGGTATCGGCCGCCCCTTTATCAGCTGTCCGTCCCTGATCAGATCCGGTTCGGACTCGACTAGGATAGGTATATATTGAGACACTCTATATAGCTAGCTCTATAGACTTTTAATATCCTTTCGTATAAGGCCTATAGGTGTCTATTCGAATTAAGGCTCGTTTGATGTCCCACGCACTCCTATATGCCTCTGAGTGACACTACTGCCGATACGGATCCGAGTAGTCTTGCCTGCGCCGTTACACAATGTATTAAAACTGCCATCCGGGACGCTCCTGACGAGTTTCTTTCTATAGAATTACAAGAAACGAAACGTATACTGCTTGCGAAGGTATCTAGAGAACCACTTTACATAAAGATTAAAAATCTAATCGAGTTTATTTTCAGACGCAAGTGTTCTTTTAATCTTAAACCTAACTATAACTAGCTTGAACTAAGATTCTGTTAATGAGCTATCGAAAGGGCGTTCAGCCTGTCACATTAGACAGATTTGGTGCACTTTATTAAGAGTTAGTTGGTGTTTGTTTAAATATGCGGTAGTACATACACAATATAACTTGCCAATATTAGCGTAGTTCCCCTTAAATTCGCAGTTATTATTCGCTGGCCCTTTCGCCGCTCCTGGGTCATCTGTTGTAGCAGCGCACTAAACTGAAGTTAGCTCGTCTACTTTGACGCAAAGACTAAGATACTAAGCTCCGTCATAATAGCAAGTTAGATAAAAGATACCAACGTACCCAATTGGCCCAATACTGGGTACCGGAACATCCATTTTGACCCGAACCACCAGACCAGCATCTCGCCGCATTGCCACTCACAACGAACACAGTAAGTGTAATTGTAACAATAGAACTCTTCATAATAGATATGTGAGGAACAAATTGTGCTCGAGATTCCTCGTTATTTATATTGTTCTACTGTCTAGTAACGGACAGTAGACCAGTGCGAAGCTACTATGTCATCTCCGAAAGTAAGCTGACTAACACTCTCGGAGGTAAGCCGGCTATGCTCTCGGAAGTAAGCCGGTTATACTCTCAGAAACAAGCGGCAATTGAACTCAACATTCCTATAGTATCTACCCGTTTTATTATCAGTTAACTGTTAAATTAACACGATAATGGATAGTTTAGGTAGAGAGATCTTTCTTCATGTCTTGTACGCGTAACTGAAAGAGCTAGCAAATTGCTATTTAACTACATTACCTAGGGCAGAAGAGTAGACTAGACGTGATTATGTATCACTTTTTTCAACACGCATTACTTGAGAAAATTAGATGTGAGTTACTTATCATAGTTTGGATTTCACCGATTTGAAGGCCCTACCACTATGATGACGATAAATACGAGGATGATTACGAGTCAGACTTGAATCTAGACTCAAAACCTAGTGCGTGCTCTATCCTAGTGCGGTGCGGACCGATAGGTTGGCCGTGAAGCAGGAGGTAGGTGTCACGATATTCTAAATCAAAAGACTATTTGTCGGGGATCTATCCTGCACCCCTTAGAATAATACAGCCCCCCATCACGTGCATCAGAGTATATATAGTCTTAGCCACCCCCACGAAGAACCCTTAAGAATTCGTCTTAATTCTATTCTTTTGATATATCTTGTGGCTATCCTTGAAACACCTCATAGCAGGTCGGCCGACCATGGGCCGCTGCGCCATATCCCCATGCGCTACTCCTAATTAGGTGAACTGACTTGGAACACCTGTGATATATATTTTAAATAGATCCTGAGCGTTCTACTCTAACACTTTAATACTAAGGTCAGTCCCTGCGTGCTGAAAAACTCTATGTGCCGAAAACGACCAATCGGATCGCAAGGATCATGGACTTCTCTCTAAACGTTACGATCTGATTGGTCGTTTTCGGCACATAGGGTTTTTCGGCACGCAGGGACGGATCTTAATTCTAACTTTAGTTAGCTGCGTCATAGGGTTACGTGGCATAACGAATTAGGATAAAGTGAAGCCTATCTAGGTAAGGTTCACGGCATGGCAATTATAGCCTATGGTTAGTCGACCTGTTTCCTGAGGCTGGTCAACCGTTGCCAATCGTCACAACTATTCGAGGCTAGCCTAATACTGAAATTGTACATCGAAGAAGTACCGATCAGAGTGGCGATTACGCATAACTCTAACGAACGCTTTAGAAAGACCCCAGGGGGGGGGGCTTTGCATCCTGCAAAAGTACGGAGGTGTGTAACGGGCTGCATGCCCCTTGGATAGCTCCTCGATCGAATCTCGGGTTAAGCTGCGCGCGCACCATCTGAACTACGTTCAGACCGAGCGCTCAGAAAACGCGTTCAGATACTCCTGCATAACCTTTCTTCGACAAGTAAATAAACACAGAGTAAGTAGAAGCTCCTTATAGAATACAACCTTTTGTATACCTCGCGATTGCTCCCTGGAGAGCAGCCCCTTACATTGTAACAGCGCTCTCTACTTTTCTACCTTAATAAATACACAGCAATAGCTCGTAGTAATAAAACAAGAGTATCTTTTCAATCGGAAAGTTATACGTTATAAAATAGTTAAGTAAATAAAAACTTTTTTTTGTTAAGATTTTCCTAACCCGCACCGGTATTCAGTTCTTCATGTAACGGCACAGGTAAGTGTCAGGCGCTGCGCTGACTATATATACTATTCTGTGCAGAACATCAGCAGAACGCTAATTACTCGTACCTTTTTTGGTTGTTATAGCCCAGTAGCACAGGGCTGAGTGTTACAAGCAACAACGGAAAGGATCCTCTCCCTGGTGATGATGGTATAGTGGTTGGGAAACTACTTGGGATGCTAACCGGGAACGATGGGCATCGCGGGGCAAGGTCACGTGATACGCCATCACGCCAAGGCGGTGCCATTAGTGATGGCAGGTACTGTATATAATAGCAACTATTAGAAGTAGAGATAGCTATTAGTAACTATAGGTTAACGTTCTAATAGTAAGACCTAAAGGTAATAAGGATAAAAGAATAGATAGATTTTATTATCACTCTTATTATAGTTAACTTAAATTATACTTTCTTACTAGTTACTTTACTTAATAAGATTATTACTTATTAGTCTATTTAATCTAGATTAGTAGTTATTAAACCTTTTTTAGCTTCTATCTAAGTATACTATGTTACACGGGGTTAGGATCTATACTTCTCTGTCCTGGTCCGCACTAAGGTAGGCGAGTATTACGCTAGTGTTCCGTGAGAGTTTGTCTGGCGATGCAGTGGAGT